TTCCAACCCTGACAATTCTGTGATTCTACAAGCTGTGTTTGTCCTGGGGTGGTTGTTTGGGGCTGAAAGGGGCAGAATTTGTGCTGGGGCAGGCAGAGGAGAGGTGGTGGTTGAGAGGTGGTGGTTCCTGGCTGCGGGGGTTACTTGGGCAGGACGGGAGGTGCCCCAGCCTCCTGGGGGTGAGCTCCGTGTAAGACAGACGTTGGAGAAGGCAGTGAGTGCTGGGGCTTGGAGCTTCCTTGGGTCTGCTGCTGAGACAGCGCTGACTGAGAGAAGGAGCTGGTCAGGATTTGCTCTGCGTTTCTGAAACGTGTCCCTCTGCCCACAGCAGCAGCATGAGGACCTGTCCGCCAAGAAGCTGCGGCTGACCAAGCCCAGCAAGTCGGCGGCGCTCCACGTCGACCTGTGCAAAGCCACCTCGCCTGCAGATGCCTTGCAGTACCTGCTCCAGTTTGCCAGGAAGCCTGTGGAGGTGGAGAGCGTGGAAGGCGTTGTCAGGATCCTGCTGGAGCATTATTACAAGGTGGGGAAGCTGGGAGCCCATCATGCTTCCAGAATCCTTCTCCTGGTCTTGTTTCCATGAGGTCGGGTGGGGAACAGGGAGTCACAGGCTCCTGTGTGGCTGACTCGGTTGCCAGTAGCTGGGGCTACTGTGAGGAGGGTGAGTGGCTGTGGTCCTTTTCCCAAGTGATTTCTTGGTCCCTTTGCTGCTGATTTCAGGAGCCTGTGACAGGGATGTGACTCTGTTATCTCTGCAGGTGCCCTGCGTGATTAGTTTTAAATTAACTTAACCAAGGACTGAGACGTGACAAGTTTTCTGGGGAATCTGACTGTCCAAAGCTGGCGCGACTTGATCAGAATCCTTCCTGACTCACGTTTCCTTACCTTGCCCTTAATTTCCTCTAACAGTGGAGGAACTTTTTAGCTATTTCTTAATGCTGCAGACAAAGCACTTTTAAAGTGACACTTCTGAAAAACTTTTCAAGCAAAAACTTGTCAAGAAAAAATTCTGAACAGCCAGTAAAAAGTAAATATCAGAAGTAACGTGTGCTTTGTAGTGTCCAGGTACTTCTAACAAAGCAAAACTTTTTTTGCGGCTGACAAAGCTGCCCTGTAGGCTGAAACATTTCTCATAAATGTCCTTGTCCTATTCTGCCTTTTTTTATTTACCAGTTGAGTCTGTTGTATGCTAAAACTCTTCAGCTGCATTTTATCTGTCTCTGTAGTCTACTGGTGTATCCTCAGTGGCGTGAGGTGATTTTGAAAGTCCTTTCTTGATCCAGGGGGGTTTTCAGATCGAGGGGTTTAGAGGCACTTTCACTTGCTGGTGTTTTGGTCGTGGAGTCGGCAATTAGATCTGCAAACTCATTTCCTACTTGTGAGGGACAAAGTGTCCCCTGGGGTGGGAGACTGCTCCTAACTGGGGGATGATGACGTTGCAGATGTTGTTCCTAAGGGCCTTTCTAAGTGTCCTCTTTGAAACCGCTCTTTTTTTTTCTGTCGTTTAGTAAAAGAATATGAGCAGTGGTGAGTAAACACCAAATAGATCATACTGTGAAAATCTGTGTGTCCTACCACTGCTTTAAGCCGTGCGCAAGTCTGTAGATGACCCAAAATAATAACTCTTTAAAATGTGTGAACTTTTACAATAAATTTAAAATTAACGCTAATTGGTGGAGCTTATTGCCACCTGTGACAGCTTTTGCTGTTGCTTAAATAGCAGGTGCATGCAGCTAACATATGCTCCTATTATTTCATTTTTTTTACCTTGCTGTGTTGGGATTCTTTCTTTAAGAAGGGTTGGCAGGAATCCTCCCCACCATTCAGAGAAACCGTGGTTTCCTATAGCCCATGGGCCCTGCAGCTTAGCGGAGGTCAAGTCTCAGTTCCCTTCCTAAAATCCACCTGTTTGTTCATTAAAAGCAGAGTTATAACAGTATTGACAGGGCCTTTTCCAGTGTCTTGAAAACCTGATTATTAAAACTTGAAAATTTCAAAACGCCACCAAGGTAACTTTGAGGAATTACGGATGAAAGAATAAATTTTCAAAAGTATTGGAAGCTTTGAGAATGTCTGTTGTCTCCTTCCAGGAGAACGATGCCTCTGTCAGACTGAAGATTGCTTCTTTGCTGGGTTTGTTGTCGAAGACTGCGGGATTTTCCCCGGACTGCATTATGGACGATGCCATTAACACACTTCAAAATGAGAGTAAGTCTCGTTTTCCAGGTGGTGCTGGAGATCAGGGCAGAATCGCGGTGTCTTTTAAACATCTGGGACAGTGGCAAAGCCCTTACGTCTGAAGTGTGTAGCTGAACACTGTTGCTTAAGGTATTTGTTTTCTGCTTTTGTGAACGGTGATCAAAGATACCGCGTTCGAGGAGGAGACAGCTGTTCCTCAGACCTCTGGTGAGACCCCACCTTGAATCCTGCGTCCAGTTCTGGTGCCCCCAGAGGGCCGTGGATCTGTTGGAGCGTGTTCAGAGGAGGCCACAAGGATGACCCAGGGGCTGGAGCAGCTCTGCTGCAAGGACAGGCTGCGGGAGCTGGGATTGTTCAGTCTGGAAAAGAGAAGACTTCGGGGGGACCTAACA